CAGTGAAGAACTTTACAGAACACATGCAGTTTGCTTACCTGTCCGTACGAACTGCTGCTGATAGTGTAGGTTGGCCCACCCTAGCACAAGGAAACCATTTGGTTAGTATCCTTTCATAAGGGACCATTTCGCTTTAGCAAAATTGGGGAGCCTGGCCTACACTAAGATAGCCTTATGGTTGTGCTGTGATGTCTGTGGCACTGAGCTCCAGAAGTCAGAGCTATCCTTGGTCAGACTTCTCACTACTTGCAGTGGTATAGATAACACTGACAATTTTTTCCCTCCCTGTCCTCCCTCACCACCACTGCCCAAGAAATTGGAATACTTCATCTTTTTGTTGACACCAAGAATATTCTCATGCTTTAATCCACAATCAAGTTTTTTTTTATCATTGTGTTAATATTTTAACCCATTTATTCTTCCTATGAGTCGCTTGAAGTAAGTCTGAAATACCTTGTTGCACATAAGTATGGAGTTATGATTCACTATCATTCTTCACCCTTCACAACTTATGGAAATTTGTGGTCTAATATACATGGGGTCTGCATCTACCAGTATAGGATTCTTCTTGCAATGCTGAGCCTAGAAACACTTCTGACATGGTATTACGACTTTTCTACAGATTTTAAAGGACACATTGTGACGAACAGTCATTTCACTTCAACTAATGACATACAGAAATACATTTATGAATATTGTAACCAAAAGGGGCTAAATCAATAACTACAGCCAAAAAAAGAGAAAACCAAAACCCAAAGCAACTTAAGTACCTGCAACCTGTGAAATACATTTACATATATGTGTAGGAAGATATCATTATTCTGAGCCTATTTTAGTGAAATCTAGAGGCATATTTCTACTCCTTTTCAATCTCACTTACCTGAACATAAGTAGCACCGCTGCTTTGCTGCCTTTGTCCACTCTATACGGAACAAAAAATAATGTTATTCATTTTAAAGAGGAATTGCTTATGTACCATGACTAAGAAACTATTTTTAAACCTACAGGACAGTTTGAGTGAGTTTATGTCTTTCCTTACTTTATTTATGCCATCTCAATGTGCCACAGTGATAAATACTTTGGCATACAAAGATACTTCATGATGACAATTATTTATATAATACATTATGTCATTTTGTGGTATTTCTGGGAAATTATAATACAGAGATTTTCATGTTTTGTATTTACAGAACACAGTTGCAATGACTGTTGATTAACAACCAAAAAGTACAATCACTTTTTTTTAACTGCAGAAACACATCTACTTTATCACTGTAGTTTGTGTACCATTGATTTAAGATATTCATACTCATTTATCCCCAAATAGATGAGTCATTGCATAGTTTACTGAGGCAGAGCTTGAGATAAAGCACAAAGACCATGAAGAAAGAACATCTACCTGTACTATGATCTTCGTAGCAGAATTGCCCAAACTCTGTAAAACAGAACAGGAAAGAAAAAAAATTTGATTAGTTAAACAGAAAATTTCTAGTTCTACTACTTTGCTTGGGATAATAAAGGAAAGGGGAGCACATATAATGTATTAAGCATTGTATTCTGAAAACCCAGTACTAAACTAGTTTAAAAACTAGATAAACTAGTTTATCCTCAGCTCAGAAGGGGAAGGAGCCCCACACTACTGAAATAATTTCCTATGCCTAAATCTCCTTCTAAAAGAACTCTTGAAAGAGCACAGGCTACAGGTTTTTGCAGTACCAGTTAGCACAGTTTTTCCAAATTGGGTGAGTTAAGCTGAGACATCATCACGAATCAAATACCTCACAATCACCTGTACATCAACACATACCTGAATTCAGTTTCTGTCTAAGTCAATTACTGTGATCAGTTTTGAGTTATGACGGACAAACTTAAATGGGTAGAAGACACCATTTCAAAGTAACAGGTTTGACCCCACAAGGCATATGTCACCATTAGAGAAATCATTTAAAAAAAAAAAAAAAAAAAGTATGCTTACCTGGGGATAAGTATGACGCTGCAAATGAAAACAAAAATCTTTAAGTATTCTGCACAAAGGCTTGTCTAAGCAAGATTTTGCAGCACAAAAAGGGCCCTGTCTTTTCGGTGCAATACACGACCAAATGTGGAAGAAAGATATAGGAAGGATAACTGATTAGCAATTGATTTTAATATTCATTCAGGTTGGAACAAGTTTGAGTAGGAAGAGGACAGACAAAAAAAACACACATACATATCAATTTTGACATACAAAGTTTCACTTTAACCACATTAAAGAAAAACCTTCTTTTGGCTGATTATGAGCCAGTAAGTGAAGTGGAAATTTACTACTTTAAAAATAAGAATAGAAGTGAATTTATGAAAAAAAAATTGCAGTGGAAACAGAAAATCAAAACTACTCAGAAACATGGATATTATATATATATCAAAATACGTGGAATCTGAACTTAATCAAATATCTCTGTAAGTGGTAACAGCAATCATAGAATCATGACTCAGGTCAAATACTCGGCCTGTCGTATCATGTAGATGCAGTTACTATCTCACTATCGTCTTTCCCCAGAAGTAATTATGATCCTAGGATAATCCCTGTGTGAGAAAGATTTGTCTCCATATGCATGAGAAATCTTTCTGACAAATTAAAACATGAAGCTACTTAAATGCTCTTTGAGTCAAAGCTTTGAGAGTGGTAGAGAGAAACTGCTTACCACAGGCGGAAACGGGTTGCTGTTGGGGATGACCACTATCTGCAGACAGAATGGAGAGAGCTGTTTGTTTACTCATCACAGGCTTTCTTTAAATACGTTCGAAAAACAAAAAATGCTGAATTCTCTAAATTTACAAGCATAGATAATAGCACTATGGGTGATCACCTTTACAAAGTATTACTGTTTTTAACAAAAATTCTTAATGTACACTTGCAATGAAAGAAGAATGTATACACAAGAGCATACGGAGATTTGCTTCCATTCAGACAGTGACTCAGCTGTAAAGGCTGTAATGTACTACAGCCACTGGCTTATACATACATATATGATGTTTTTACTGTCCACCAAGAGGTGGAAGACCAATCCAGTTATATTCAGTGTTCCACTACAGGAGTAATACTGGCTTCATTTTTTTAATAACTTTGAATGCAATAGTAGTGCCTTCTGCTTAGGTATTCATGTTTTCCAATCAGAAGCTTTTCTTTTTTTAACTGAAAACAATATCATCCAGTGGTGTAGAAAGGAAGAGCTGATGTTATCACAACTAAAGAATTCTAACATAAAGGAGGCAGAATTTCTTGAAATGTAAATTATTGAAGAATATCAGTACAGTTTGAAAGGAAGAGGAAATTTAAATGCAACGAAATTAATTGTGAAGACAAATGGTCACAGTGTATGTTTATTGGTCATAGCTCTGAGCTTTCTGGGGAATGGACTGAGAGGAACAGTCTATGTAAATATTAAGAGACAAATACATGAATTCTTATCGGTTTCATTTTCTCAGACTTACCTTAAAAATCATTAGAAATCTGTACCCTTAAAAGGCCCATTTACATCACAATCAAAACCCTATTTTTTAAATTAAAAAATATCTATAAAAAAATTGTGAAATTTTAACGTTTTAGATACAGGTAAGTCAACTGTCAACAAAAGCACTGCTGCACAGAGAAGCAGCATATGGCAATGAAGAATCAAACTGATTCCACTCATACAAATCAAAAATTTCTAATAGTACCACAAAAATAAAGAAGTTGTGCCAAGTTACAACCATGTGAATTCTTTCTCTTTTGAATTAAAAAGAAAAGGCACTCTTACCTTCTTACTGGAATCTGAACTACTTGCAGGAACAGACTGTAAAGAATACAGGAAGACATATTTTGCTTAGGTTTGTTTGACAAATTAAATACAGCACTATCTTGCACAAGAATGTTACAGATAATTACAGTATTTTCCTAGATTCCTAAACAAAATAACATTTTGAAGGAAAATAAGAATGTACAGGTAACTGACAAATGAACAACAGAAGTAAGACACTTGTTTTATTTCTTTTCTCAAACACTAAAATATTTTTTGGTAATAAAAATAACTGCTGGTAGAAAAAAATGAATCTCTTTTACTAAACTTCATAGAAAAAAAAGCAAAATCAATAAAACAGCCACTGAAAAAATAATCTACTGTTGAAACACAAGCTGGTATAAATAGGAAACACCATAAGAATACAAATGTTTCAAATGGAGCATTACATAACGTGCAAATTCTTCTATTTTATCAAATCACAAATACAATTACATAGGTAAAGCCACAAAACAAAGGTAAATATCGTCTAACAGGTATGATATTGCAGTGTACTCTAAATGTATAAACCGTTTATTGAAGTCATTTCCAGATAGAATAGGTAACTATTTGAAGACCCTTTTTCCCTTCCATATATTTTATTATTATTCAGGAGAAGTTGACTGCAGCTGCTTAATATGCTGACAATGAAAGCATGTTAGAGAGCACAGTTACCTGGCCGTAGGTAAGACTGCCATATGAGGATGCACTCTGAAAACAAAACATAAATCAGTTCTGTATTTCCACAATCATTGGTTAACTATATCCTGAAGTCATTGCTTTTCTCCTTAGAGTATTTACACTTCAAGTGAACTTAATTTTAAATACTTAACAAATCAAAGGTAACACAAAATTATTCTGAAATTGCTTGACAATTACAGCAGTAAAGTTTTTCAAGCATTCTAATAGTCACAAAATTAATGTTTCTATATCACAAATGAAATTTATTTATACTTGCATATTAAACAATGATAATAATTTAATAAGTATAATAACAATTTAATATTCCAGAGTTAATATAACAAATCTTACACCTAAAGTTAAGCACATGATTGTGCGTTTTTCTTAGCTAAGGTTTCATTTCAAAACAGGCAGTATAAAACGTATCATATTTCTGACAGACTCTTTACATCCTTTCATTATTTTTAAAATAGAAAATAAGAGTTAAAAATACTTTTTTCCCTAAACTGAGAAGGAAAGAAATGACATTGATTATGTTCATATCCCTACTAAATATAGAGTTGTTGGATTTAAACACAAAGATCATTTAAGAAAAATTACAGGACTTACTATGCAATATCTGATCAGATTTGCACTAATAGATCACACGCATTAAGAACTAAGAAGGAATTCTAAAATTTTGGAAGACTAACAAGATTTCATTGAGACAGTGAATGTGTAATACTTTTAATTCTTGCTACGAGTTTCAGAATAGTACCTGAGATCACCAACATTTTCTTTAATATGTTTAGGAAAAATAATCTACCTCCGTATAAGTAAATGTACTGCAATCCGCAATCAGGAGGTGAGTGAATAAGCACAAGCATAGTAATAAGTAATTAGTAAATAAATAATCAAAAAAGTACAAGTAAAAATAAGTAAACTTATAAGCAGCTTACATCTTTACACGCATTCTGGCTATACACATTGGCAGCACCTCCCTAGGGAGAAAACACACCAAGCAGTTATTTCTCTGCCATATCTACCTTACCTTCAGACAATCTCAGTTTTAACTGATCCTTACATGGAATTTGTAAGGAACAGATGATAAGGAGAATACAATTAATACTGTTAATGTGTGAACACCCACACATCATAGGTAAGAGCAAGGCACACTATCACTTTACATATTAGGGAACATACAGTGGAATTCAAGAAATATTTTAAAACTCCCACTATTGGGAAATTAATAGAAATAAATGGTAAGGATTTTAAAAAATGCTTGGAATTCAAACATTGACCATGTAATATATACCTACAGAGAGATGGGAAAATTAGGAATCTGAAACTAAATATAAGGAAGAGGAAACTCTTTCCTTATTCAGAGACAATGAAACATAAAAATAAGAAGGTCCAGCATATATAGTAATAGTTCCCATTATAAAGCAAGTCTCCTATTATTAATAAACGCAATAACTCTCACAAAACTTAATTCTGTTTTTCCTTTGTAAAACTCCAATACACTCCAAAACATATTCTGTTTTACAAGAACTAATGACATGAATGTTTCACACTTTCGGAAACTGTCCTTATTGGTGCTGAGCAGTCTCAACTACTGTACTGTGAGTACTTAGCATTACAACTACAGTGGTCATAATATGATAAACAAGGAAATAACTGTCAATGACATAAAAAGAGTTAATTTCAGTATTTCATTTACCTTTCAAGTTTTTTTCCTCTTTTTTTTTTTTTTTAATATATTGAGAAAACATTTGAACAAAGTCACTTTAAAAAATCGAAAAATAAAGATCTTAGTTTGTAAATGCTGAAAGGAAATCAAAATTTCCATTATTTGGCATAAAAATATTTTAGCCTGTATGACCACAGTCATCATCTCAATACAAATGCTTCTGAGAAGTGTTTGAGCTGCTCAGCAACATGTTACAGCACTCTGCCATCTCTGACTGATTTCTGAAAGAATTAATAAATTCACAAGTGCCCATGCCACAAGTGAGATGAAATGGCCTTAGTTATTGTAGATATCTGTATCATGAATTCCAAGAAGAGGAACAACTTAGAATGTGTAGACCAGTTTCAACCAGTCTTGTCTACTGAAAACAGAGAACTTGTCTGATGAGCATTACTTCAGTTCTAAACAATAACCCCTCAGTGCAAAACGTAACCCTTCCAGTCCTTTTTTTCCACTAAAAGCAATACATTTCTAGAAAGCTTTGTAACATCCCAGTTTCCCAACTACTTCATACCACTGAATAAACCATAACACTTTTCTTCTAGCTCTCTCCATTATTTTCCTCTTGAAACAGAAATTTCTAAAGAATACTGACATAAATAACATAATTTAAGTTTCTATAAATATAGTTACATCGGCTACAATAAAGTAAATATGAGAACAGTTCTTACTGGGACACATCCACTCTTGCTTATTGTGTAGACTGTTCCACTCTGAAGAAAAAAACAACAAACACCAAACAGTAAATTATTCCTATGATTAAAAAAAAAAAAAAAAAGAAAAAACAACAGAAAAACTCCTGATGTTTATGGCACAAAAAGCCAAGCAGCTGAAAATGTGCACAAACATCTTGTCCCATGGGACAAGGAAATGCAGAAGTTACCTGCTCAATCACAACTGTCTGGAATACTTATTTTATTATGAAACATTAGCCATCTTCTGGATTTCATATAACACTGTCATTGGTCAGGCAGCCTTTCAAAGTTCATGGGTGTTCTACTAAGTGACTCATATTTTAGAATAACAATAATAACTTCAGGCAGTTATATGACAGGATGAAAAAAATAGCCTTTAGAAAAGAGAATGTATTATGAATGAAAGAAACACAATGAAGAAAAGTCTGAATTTAGCACATAAGTCAAAGTAATCTCTCCAAGTCTGGTAATTCCCCTTACAAGTAATGGAAATGGCCCAATTTACAGATAATTCACTAATAAATAAAATTACTAGTAAGTAGTTAGAAATATATCCTTGGGAAGCTCAGTTCAAGAAATTTAGAGACACGTCAGAAAGCATTTGACAATACAAACAGGCATGTAATGTAAAAACACAATCACCCTGATCTGACTATACATTTATCTGACTGAAAAAAATTCAAGTGATCAGCAAGAATACAGATGTATTTATGTCAGAAGTTTTAAAAGGCTAACCAGGCAATGAAATCCCTGAACATTCAACTGCGAATATAAACCTGTGAAACAAGTGATGTAGACATTATACTGCCATTTTAACACACGCATGAATATCTCACAAAGTTTTGAGAAATTTTGCAAATTGTAGAGAAGACTGTGAAAGTACAATTGCTCCTTTTGATTACCAAAATATGAAAATAGAAAAATGCCTGACAAATCAATTAAAAACGAGTACATTTTCATTAAACCAGATGTCTCTAAAATATGTATGTTCAAAGTTTGCATTTCGATGAACATGCATATGCATAGGTAGGAATCCTATAGAAATATGGAAGAAATTTTTCCTTCTCCCATGGGTCAGGTTAATGCTCAGTAAATTTGGTTAATGCTTGAAATCAGAGGTGGTGAAACAGCTAATAGGTCAAAATGCTGTCAGCAAACTACTGAGTTCCACAGCGCAGCCTAGTCCAGATACTGCATATACATTTTACTGGAAGAACAACTTTGGCCTTCTCTTAACTAGCAGAGACATTTTATCACCTCAGTAGTGTTTTCAAACTTTATTTGTTCAAGGTTACTGAAGGAAAATGTATGTTGGATCCTTACCTGACCACTAGAATAGCTGCTTTGAGAGGAACCGGAAGGTTGAACCTGTAAAGAAATCAAAATGTTACTTTCATTCAAGCAAATTGATTTTCATATAAATCACTTTCAGGAAAGAAAGATCCACCTTGTGGGAAAAAGGAGAAAACACAAAGTAGTTTCACTGTGACTTTATTCTTTCAATACTATTATAATGATTTCAGAGGTATTTCAAACCAATCTATTCAATTGGTATAAATTAACATAATTCTACTGCTTGCCGTAGAACACTCCCACATCACCTCTCTTTTAACCTGTCCTCATATAGCATATCCATCACTGAGAAGCAGGTCTCAACTGGTAAGATCATTAGTGTCAAATTATGCAACATTCAAATGAAAACTTTTTAGTGATATGACTACATAATCATTAGACACTACGAAATGCAGAGCATGTTTTGTGTGAGGAGGGAAAGAAGTGAAAGAGGTTTTTTCACTGAGCTGAATGACAATTTTCAGGGGAAAAAATCAAATAGGTTGTATATATCTATATGATGATTTGACGAGTATGATGCTTTAGAGCCATTAAAATAAACAATATTAAAAAGATGCATAAACAAAGAAGTAGTACAACTATCAAGATAGAGCAAAAATAAATTGAACTACCAAGGGATAAAGATGCGATGAGAAGCAGCTTTTGTCTAGGTTTTTATATATATACATATATATATGTATATACACACACATCCCTGCACACAATTGTGTTTTCTTTTTTTTTTTTTTTTTTTCTTTTTTAAACAAGTAGCAGTAAATTGATATCTTTACAAAAATAATACTGATATCTTTACAAAAATAATACCTACCACAACACATCCACCTTGCCTGGTGTACGTCCCTCCACGCTGTAAGAAATTACAGGTTCAAGTTACTGTTTGATGATTCTTTTACAAATACCAAGTGATTTCTAAAAAGAAACTAAACAGAATTCACATTTGTGGCCTGAGTCAGTTCTTGATTGCTTATAATACCTTACCTGTTGTAATTATCTCATTTCGTATTTAACATTATCTCACTAAAATAGTTCCAAAATTAAGTACAAAAATGTAAAGTTCTCTCTAGGAAAATAATTTGGATACTATGATAAAAGCTTTATGCTGCAACTATGAAATAACTGGACCAACAAGACAGGAAACCCAAAACTGAGGTAACGGAGATCTGTGAAATTGTAAATACTTTGTTCTTACCTTGCTGCATTCAATTTCTATCATTAGCTGGAAAAAAAAAAAAAGGAAAAAAGAGGAAACAGTTACAAGTTAAGGAAAAAAAAGATTATCTGAACTAACATTTGGCGAAGCAAAAGATGATTGGATAAGTGTTCAGGCAGAGTTAAATCATAAGATGACATAAATCAGGGCTGCTCCAGTCAAGACCAACATTACAGATTTGAAAATATTTTGTTTACTTAAGCTGCTTATCTTGTTTAAGATGCATAATATAAACAATTCCTGGTCCATAATAAATAAATGAGCAAATAGATTTATAATAATATTTATTTAGGGCTATAGTTCCAGGAACAGAGGCAGCAGGAACGTATATAACAAAAGAAAAGCAGAAGAAAAGCAGAGTCCTTTTTATCACCACCTTTCCTTTTTCTCTGTGACGTGTATTATTTTGATAACTAGATTATTTGCTTCTTTGCTTCTATGGGAGATAGAACTATTCACTATAAATTTTTTGTCAATTTAGTAAGAGGATTAGGCAGTTAAAAGCATTGAAAACATCTGATGATTACGGCCATCTTAATGAACACATGACATCAAATGTATACCTGGCATCAAGTCAGAGATATTTTAACTGATTGTAGAAATTTCTAGTATGTGAATGAACTCAAAACTTACCTTCCTTTTACTTTTTCCTGTCCCATTAACTGACTTAGAATGCGTGGATATGAGAGTTTTGCTTTCAATTCCAACCCAAAATTTCTCTAGATCTTGAACAACAGTTGCACTGCAAAGGAAATAAAGCAATTTACTCATCTTTTAACAAAAAATCTTCAGAATAAAATAGCAATAAATGCTTTTTTTTCCTCCCTCAGTCAAAATAATCTATATCAATTTTGAGAGCCATGGAGAAGTTTGAAAAGAATGGAATCATCTTCCAGAACACTTATGACAAACTATGGAACAAAAATGCCTGTGACAAAAAAAGGATGTCAGAATCCACATAGAAATAAATTTTAAAGGCAAAGAAAAAGAAATATTATTTACATGAACTGAAGTTCTTTAACATCATTTGGAGCAATCCATGTTGTTGTAATTTTCTGCTTCAGATCAGAATTTGCATGACTTACTGCTGAATTCTGCAATTAAAAAGAAATTATAGTTATATAAGAGAAAAGTGATTTTTATCTATACTTGGGTAACTGTCTTTACTACATCAGGTAATGCTGATGTCCTTCTAATTGTCCTTCTATTTATTGTCAGATAGTTCTTATGTTTGGTTTTCATTAGTCATTCTCCATTAAAACTTCTGCCAAGAGCGACACATACCGTGATGTTATGACATTCCAAGCCTTTTGTGTTTGGATCTGTAATTTTGAAAGTACCAACAGGAACATCTCCTCCTGTTTCTCGTGCTTGTAGATTAAATTCTTTAAATCCAACATCTTTGAGGGCTTCTAGGGTCACTGTGATAAAAGACATTTTGAGAAATTTAAGTTTCATATATTATCAAAACCACTTTAATGTTTAACATTTAATTTTCCCCACCCTCCAGAACATCGCCGTACAGAAGTTAACTTCTTCTTAAAAGTTAAAATCTTTTACAATTCTTGCAAAAAAATTAAGACTTATTACAGTTCTTGTCTATTGTCAAGACTGACAGCAAAGGGAAATAAAGAAGTTTGAAGAAGCATTTGAGTGTAACTAAGTATATTAGAAAGTAATGGGAAAACTACTGACAATTTTAAAAAGAAATTCTGCCCTACTAAATGACCAGCCCTTTCTAATTAATTTGATTTGCTCCCCTACGTACCAGAATGATGGTCCTGATGACTAGATGTTATTTATTTTCTGTCTAATTAAGCCCACAAAAGTCAACATTGAGAAAGAGCATTGCATTTTTTCTACCTCTTTTAAAAAACAAAACAAACAAACAAAAAAATGTTTGCCTAGTTTGAATTGCAGAACCTTCTTTTTTTGATGTATTACAACTGGAAAAAATAAAAGCTAAACAATTTGTCTCTCCTAGTTCAAAATGAAAAATCAATAATTACACACAATTTTACTGCTGAAGGAACTGAAATGAAAACACAGAAACTGCAGAAAAGGGCAGTTCCACATTATGAGTATCCAAACTGAAACTAAGTTTTAAGAAGCAATATCAGAATTGCTATGACGTATCATAAATGTGCTCAGGTAATGCCAGTATTAAGCACTTTCACAAATAAAATCAGAACAATCCTTTGACTATGTAGATGCGTGGTACTGCTTAAAAATTAGTGTCAGTAGATAAGAATAGATAAACTGGGAATGACAGTCAAAGAAGAGATCAATCATATCCTAAACAATTCAACATCTCAAAACACCTGTATAATTAGCCTGTCAATTTGCCAGCAATTTCAGTCCTAACTCACTGCATAGGTGGGATGGCACCCAACACTTTAAAGGAAGCACAGATGCAACTGTACGTTTTCCCTTATGGCCTGTCATAGGTGCAATAGGAGCAATACTCTCATTGGAAGGGCAGTCTACTGAAAATAAGTATGGGATTCTTACATCTTGATGCAATAGAATCATATGATGGCTTGGGTTGAAAAGGACCTTAAGGATCATCTAGTTTCAACCCTCCTGCTGTGGGCAGGGTTCCCAACCACCAGGTTGCCCAGAGCCACATCCAGCCTGGCCTTGAATGCCTCCAGGGATGGGGCATCCACAACCTCTCTAGGCAACCTGTTCCAGTGCATCACCACCTTGTGAGTAAAAAACTTAATTATGTGGTGCTAAAGTGTTTTGAGCCTTTTTTTTTTTTTTGTCTAACCACACATCAAAACTAGTAGCATTTGGGATTTAATATCTTAGTCTCACTAGATCTAGTATAACCTCACAAAACAGTCTGCATACATTTAAAGTCTGTCCACCATTCTGTTGGCAATAGTGTTTCAGAAACAGCTCTCAGTAATCAAACAGCAATCCTATTCTTAAAGGGGTTAGTCAAATGTGTTTTTCCAAGAATGAGAGTTATAATAGGACTCTAGTCCTCCATTCCTCTCCTTAGCTATCATTTGCCATAGACACCTATCTGTGTACAGACATCAGGCAAAATAGAAGCCCAGCAGAGCAACTGCTATGAACAATGCTTACAGAGATCCAACAATGAAAATGAGATACATTATAACTCACTTCTGCCTCTGTATTTGTTATACCAAATGATTAAAGAAGCACTCCCACGTCACTAAAGCATGACAGCACCATGAGATGGCAGCATAGTGTGGAGAAATAAGGCTGCCCAGAGAGTAACTCAGATTAGGAAGATAAAAAGCCAAAATAGCCCCACCTCCTGCAACTTGATAAAATCTGGGATGTGACTCTTACAAGCATGACTCAAAGCATTTCACTCTTGAGTTGTCATAGACAGTATCCTGAGTTTTTATTTTCTTGTAAGTTCACAGCATGACCATCACCCCTAGGATCTCTTTGCATTGCACACAGCTGATACAACTGCAAATGCCCAAACAGAATGTTAGACAGCAACAATTTATTAGTCCAGTTTGACCAGCTGTCTCACAGGATTTTAATTCTGTCACAAAACTTACAACGTGAAGTTAAAATATAGTTATCAGAGAGGGAAAAGAAAAAAATAAATTGAGAATATAGTTTTAATTATATAGATATAAATGTGAAAACATATATATACATGAAACATTAAAAAAAAGAAACATCTCAAATACAGATGAATAAGACTGAAATAAAAAAATAATTAGATACATCAAGAGCGAAATGGGGCAATCCTGGTTAAGATTGGTAGTTCTAGAAGACACAAAGATTTTAGGTCATTCAGACTATTTTACCTTGGATTTCATTTCCTGGTTCAAAGCTATCAAAAGATACAGCAATAATATATGGTGGTGGAGATGTCTGTGGTTCATCTTCATAGTTTGGTAACAGAGAGTCACAATCAATTGAAGTATTTGCATGTGGAAAACCAAAGATTCTGGGCAGAAATATCCCACAGAACAAAAAAACTAAGCAGAAGCGTCTCCTCATCTGTGGAAAAGAAGAAAAGATTATACCAGCTGCTTTTTAGCAGTTGCTAACAAATACCCGCCCTTCTCCAAAGTAAGAAGAAGAAGAAACCTAGATAGTTTGGCTTTGTTGCATTCATATACTTGGAAGAAAATAAATTAAGTACATGTAGACCTTGACAAAACAGTGCAATAAATGAATGAGTGCTTTCATTTTAAAACACTGAATTATTAACTGAACCTTAAATTCTCTGGTCACATGACAGCAATCCATAACTGCATTATGGCTTAAGAGTCAAAAAGAACTTACACAAACTTCCACATTGTTGAGCTGGCAGATTTAGCCCAGATCTTCATACAAGAATTAAAATTTAAGTTTTGTTCTCTCAAGCTGTTTTCTGTAGCGATAACCACGACTAACAAGCTCTATTTTGATTGCTTTGCCTACTCCCATTTCAAACAACAGCCAAGAAATCTACAGTTAAATGCCATGTAGAACTCTCAGTTTTCCAAAATAATTGTTTCCTGAAGGGTTTAACATAAGACCTTACAGTTCTTTGGAAGCATTTCAAACACAATGTATGAGATGTAGCCAATTCGTAACATCTTCCTGTGCATCTTAACTCGTGCATGAACACATAAGATCATTTGGTTTTGTATGAGCTAACTCAAACAAAGAACAGAATAACCAGGAAGAGCGTGGGTGGAAATCATCACAACAAATATTTATTTTTGCGCTTATCTCTGAAGTGAACTTAATTTTTAAAAAGCCTGTGAATCAACAGACTGAAGCTTTAAAAGATTTCCTACAAGAAGATGATAAAGGCTTGCATGGTGTCACAATCAATAAGTGCAGCAATCAGGAAAGTTATATATGCTGGTTATCATGTCTTTAAAGCAGATGGAGCATACCCCTCCCTAAGTTCTCCTGAAAATATCATTTAAATAGGACCCTTGTAAGCATTTTTTCCTGGTATCACAGTCTGCTGGGTGCGGCTGTCCAATTTCTTGCAACTATTTTAACATAGTCCACCTCTAATTAAATTTTAAGTACAGTACGTAGGTGCTATTATATTAATAGATGTGGTAAACAGTGATTTAATATGAGCTAGAGTACGTGTTGTTGAAATCTTTCTCTGACTCATGCTTGAGATGGAAAAAATCTGTTTTTAACTAGATGTTCTACTTCAAAGCAGAGAGTTCTTAGCTGGGATTGGAAAAATCCAGAGCTGCACTCTTCCTTGAAAGGAAACTTCTGAAACCTCTTCTTTCTCCTTTTTCTGGTAAGAATACATCCAGAAACAAAAGCAGATGAAAAATGGCTGACTTGTCTTCTCTTTGCATTAGCTGTCTGTGTAAAGAATTAGAGGGCTACCCTAAAAGTCTCATGATATCATCTTTTGGAACTGAGAATGAGATGAGGAAGAGATGTTAGCATTTTACAAAATTCCAAGTCCAGACTTGAATTCCAGTACCTATTCAATGAAGTTATGGTATCTTCCAACATAAATTCTACATATTTTAAAGAGAAAAATGCTAAAAAAAAAAATAATCATAAAGTGGGTGGCAATTATTTATTAAATAAAAGCATGGAATTCAAGGAAAAAAAATATTTTCAAGATTCTAACTAACTTAATGAGAAAAAATAACTGGTTCTTTCAGGTATACATGGTCGATTCCACCTGAATATTCTTATCTGAGTTGCCTTCATAACATGGAAAAATTCTAATTCTTTTTAAAATCACAGATACAGTTTCATCTTCCCATCAGCCTTTACGACTCTCATCTCTGCAGCATTTGAGAGATGCTACATTAAGAATCCTCGTCTTCATTTAGTCGAATATGACTTCAGGTCAACAATTAAATCTGAGTGGTATTTAGTTTGCTACTGCATTCAAAATCTAGTGGACCTGGGAAGAGACACTTTGGTGGTTTTGCCTTGGGCAAACTTCTGCACTGAAACAAAAGTTGTTTTAAAAGCCCTTAAACATAGAGGATTTCACTAATAAGATAAATTCTTTTTGTGTCATTTGAAAAAAAAACAACAGTTCCGACACATCTATACCGCCAGCACTTCAAGACTTGGTCCCATATGTCCTTTCCAACTGATTCTTTATGAGTATTTTTCTCCTTTCTTTTCTCCTCCTAAACATTCCTGGTAAGCCGTAGCCTTTAGCCGCTGAGAAGAACCCTGACCAGTTGGTGTGCACCCTGTCTACCACATCCCCAGCAACACACCTTATCAATCAAGCGCTGATGTGTGGGCATCCTCCGGTCCCTCAGAGGTCAGCGTGGATGAGATGCAGCTCAGGAGCACGGGTGCTCAGCAAGATGAGAGAGAGGAGGTGACTGGCTTGGCCAATCCCTGGCAAGGC